AATCTTTTAGAAGTAAATTGTGAACTGCATGTAGAATAAAAAGTCAGACAGACAACAAAGAAAACAGTACTATGCCACGCTTTTTTACGTACAGATAACAAACTGTCAAACTACAGCAAATGAAGTCAAATTAGTATTGTCTCACCCTAGCTGTGATCTTTGTGCATGCTCGATAGAAAGTTGTTTGTTTGCTCGCAGTGGTTTCTCCTCAGCTCCAAAACCACTGCCAGCAGGGTAGACGTATTTCAACATGGCTACAGAATAAATATTCTTTATATTTTAATTTAACAACAAACATTTACATTTTAATGAATGATGAAAGTGACCAATGGGAACTGTCTGCAGTTTAAGATTCTAGATTCTTATAATTTTGATATATTTGTTATGAATATCATCTTAATTTAATGGATGAAAGTTCATGAGATTAAGGGCCGAAGGCTGTTCAATGTGTATTGGCCTGAGTCAGGCCTGCATAATATAGCGGACCGCGGGACCATTGGTCCCAGAAAATTTTTGAGGTTGGCAGAAAAAAATGGAGGGTAAAACTTAAAAGTCTCAAAAGAAAAAAAGTAAAGAGAAAGAAAGAAAGGAAGAAAATAAGAAAAAATGACATAATTGAATAATAAGCTGTAGGTAGTGAACTAGTGATGTTTGCAACATGCAAGTAATACAAGTTTCCAATATACCGGTACAAGCGCCACTCCAGCAGCCTGATATTATGATCAAAGACAGGCAGACAGCAGTCTAGCAGATATTAAGATGAAATTCTCTATGCGGTTATAATTGATTTCATCTAGTGTATTAGCTACTTCTGAAAATACCACTCCAGTTATATATGAATACAACTCATTTAACAACTACAGTATGTGGATTAAAAAGTCTATGAGTGTGGTGATTTCTTACAATGTAGTAAAAAATCTAAGCAATATGGTCCAATACACATTGAACAGCCTTCGGCCCTTAATCTCATGAACTTTCATCCATTAAATTAAGATGATATTCATAACAAATATATCAAAAATATAAGAATCTAGAATCTTAAACTGCAGACAGTTCCCATTGGTCACTTTCATCATTCATTAAAATGTAAATGTTTGTTGTTAAATTAAAATATAAAGAATATTTATTCTGTAGCCATGTTGAAATACGTCTACCCTGCTGGCAGTGGTTTTGGAGCTGAGGAGAAACCACTGCGAGCAAACAAACAACTTTCTATCGAGCATGCACAAAGATCACAGCTAGGGTGAGACAATACTAATTTGACTTCATTTGCTGTAGTTTGACAGTTTGTTATCTGTACGTAAAAAAGCGTGGCATAGTACCAGTGCTGTAAGTAACTTCGTTAAAAGTAACTAGTTACAAGTAATCGTTACATTTTCCAGTAACTGTAACGGTAACTCGTTACATTTTGGGAACATGTAACTGTAACGGTAACTAGTTACAAAAATAGCTTAAAAATTCAAACGATTACAAATTTGTCAAACATCGTTACAAGTTACTTTTTTGGCTTGAATCGTCGACCCAACATCGCATCCTCAGTTCAAATAATGCAAATATGTGCGCCCTGTTTACGTTTTGCCAACACGTCGGAACTAATCGGAATGCCTCGTTTATTCCCGGCCTGTCAATGTCTCGCGCGCTTATCGTCACGTGACTTAGTCACTAGCGCGCATTTAATATTATAATTTCGCAAATATGTCGAACGAAGATGGTGATTCTGTTACAGAAGATATTTCAATTCTTGAAGTTGAACAGTGCGAAGACGAAGAGCCAGAACCAACAAATGAGAACGTCAACGTGGGCCACCCGTGGCCATATCTTTCCGATATGTTTGCTATAAAGTCAATAAGCAAAACGAATGCGAAGGTAACCTGTTTACTCTGTGCTCCCAAGTACAAGGAATGCAGTTCAAGTTTGTCTTCTTTGTCGAATTTGCGCACACACGTCAAGGTAGGGATCTTCCAAATTTAACAAACATAAATTCATAATTACTAATTAGTTACAAATAACTATGAATAGTTTTATTTTATTTAAATATGTATAACATAACATATAATGTTGTATAATTTTCCCATTACTATTATTGAGCTAATAGTATTTATCGAACTCTGGGGACGGAATGTGACTGCTATCAGTTATATGTCCTCTCAAGAATAAAAATCCCATCAGAATGAGTAATACTGTGAACAGGTCAGTTACATTTTGTTTATTGTGTTGGGGCACTCAACTCCCTATATCTGACCCCTTGATTATGAAAGATATTCCATTCTGTTGTTTAATATTATTGCATAATTCAACGCTTTAGAGAGTTCATCAACATAAATTATCTGCCTTCAACAAGCTATGTGATGAGGCTAAAACTAAAAGAAAAATGCCTTCAAGGAAAAGGAGTAATAGTGATGCCAGAGACAGTGGAGGACCATTTGCTCCTAAACAACAAAAGTTGGATGCTGTGCTTTCCTCTCAAGTTAAATACAATGCCAATTTGGTTACTCAAGCCCAAGTGGATGATTTGCTGATCAAGTTCATGACAGAAGCTCTTATGCCGTTCTCATTGGTTGAACAACCTGCATTTAAAGAATTTGTGTTAGGACTTCAACCAAATCGATCAGTAATGTGCAGAGCTACAGTGGTACGGCGAATCAGTGACAAAGCCAGTCTAGTGAAGAAAAATTTAAAAGAAGCCATGGATAAAGTTGAACATGTTGCAACAACTACGGATTGCTGGAGTGCTCATGGCCGTTCATTCATTGGTGTAACTGGACATTGGATTGATCCCGAGACTTTGGAGAGAAAAAGTTGTGTTCTTGCTTGTCGGCGTCTCAAAGGTAAACACACATATGATGTACTTGCTAGCCAGTTGGAAGACATTCATACCGAATTTGAAATAAGATCCAAAGTTTCTAAAACCACAACAGACAATGGATCAAACTTCGTAAAAGCCTTCTCTGTTTTTGCTGAACAAGAACAAGACAATCATGATGATCCAGATAAAGATGAAGAGTGTCAGTTTGAAGATGTTTTTGATGATTTAACACAGGCGAGTGCAGGTCTGGAGTACCAGCTTCCACCACATCAACGTTGCGCAGCACATACTCTTAATCTTATTTCAACATCTGATGCAGAGAAAGCTGAGGCTGATGGAAACTACAAACGACTTAGCAGGAGTACCTTTGCAAAGTGTTCCAGCCTCTGGAATAAGAGCTCCCGCTCTGTTCAAGTTGCAGAAATGGTTAAAGAGAAGTGTGGCTTAAGTTTGATCAAACCAAATGCAACTCGATGGAATTCCATTTTTATGGCTGTCCAACGCATCAATCGAATCATCAAGGAAAAAGGAGAAAATGTCATTCATAGTGTCTGCTCCCTGGCAGATGTTCCTAAGTACAGTATACTTTATAATTGTAACTTTGTGCATGGGATGGTTGACTGAAATTATGATTTACGAACATATACACTAAACACTCAGCATATGACATAGTAGAATTTAGTGAGCTAGCTAAGTGTATTTGTTTCTGTTTAGATTTAAACCTGCAGAAATTTCATTCCTTAATCATTATGCTCAAGTGATGAAACCAGTGGCTCAAGCACTTAACATTTTACAGGGAGAAACAAACCACTCGAATGCATACATGGGTTATCTAGCACCAACGATAACTATACTGAGAGATAAGCTTTCAAAGAAGTTGGATGTTCCAGTTACGAAACCATTGGTCCAAGAATTATTAAATGGAATTGATAAGCGATTTGATTCAATACTAAATGACAAAAAGATCATTGCTGCTGCAATTCTTCACCCCAAATTTAAAGAAAGCTGGTCTACTGATTGTGATGTTATTGAAAGAGGTAACAAATACAATACAACTTGAATATGAAGTGAATTAGTAAGGATTCCCATTATAGACAGCATGGATTTATTTAAACTTGTGGGATTTGTTTATAAATTTTAGGCATTTCCTTCATAAATGAGAAATTAGAGGGTTTGGTAGAACCAGTAGTTGATGAACCTGGACAGTCCTCTTCAGAGGATCAAGATGAGACAGATTTCTTCCAAGCTAAGAACAGGAGATCAAGTGATTGTACTTTAAAGTCATTTCTTGAGAGTCCTGTTGAAAAACTTTGTGATTATGCAAGATGGCCCTTGCTTCGCAAACTCTTTATTGAGCTCAACACACCATTGCCAGCCAGTGCTGCTTGTGAAAGACTTTTTAGTGCTGGTGGATTGATCTTCAGGCCACATCGCTCAAGCATGACGGATACAAATTTTGAAAATTGCATCCTGGTGAAATGTAATAAAGACTTTCTTTGAAGATGTGATAGATACAAATTTTATATGTAAAAGATAAATATATGCTAAGTATGACAGTTGGAAACTTTGAAATTTGCAATCTTGTGATTTGTGAATAAAGAATTTGTTTAAATCTGTTCTGACTGTATGGTTGCTGCATTCAGTACAAAGCTAGTTTTGAAAAATTTGCTGTATTGTATAATTGGGTGAAAATACAGTAAAGTCAGTGAGTAACTCAGTCAGTCTAAATTATAATTTTAATCAATATAAAATGTAACTTGTAACTTGTAAGTTTAACAAAAAATATATTGTAACTTTGTAACTGTAACTAGTTACAATTTGCCTTCTGTAACTTGTAGCGGTAACTAGTTACATTTCTGGCAACGTAACTGTAACTGTAACTGTAACTAGTTACAAATAAAATGTAACTGTAACAGCACTGCATAGTACTGTTTTCTTTGTTGTCTGTCTGACTTTTTATTCTACATGCAGTTCACAATTTACTTCTAAAAGATTTTGAAATCGCGGTGCCTCACCGCTACAAATTGTGCATTTGAATTTCTGTTATATCTTTTTCAATTTTTGTATTTATCTGATCAATATCAATTTTTTAAATTCGGTCTGCAAACTTTATTTGTGTTAAGGTTTTCGATAAATTCCAATTTCCAAAGTTTCCAAATAATATAATAATATAATAAGGTTTCCAATTATTGTTGATTTTGACAATATTGCAATTTTTGATCGTCGCGACCTCAACCGCTACAAATTTCAACTGATGAAAGATTGTCACGACGGCACTACTATTTCTGTAAAAGGTGTTCATTTTTTGTTGTAGTGTGTGAATTTATAGTTACTCTGTCGAACTGTATAGGCGGTTTTCAAGTCATCTTAATGTATAATTTCAAACATTTTATTCAATATTTTGTAAAGTTATAATATTTTGTAAAAGGTAGTGCATTGTTACTATATTTAGAGCGTGATCATGTTGTTTTAGTACAACTGGCTCGCATTTTACTAGCAGTGCCAAGCAGTTACCCATGCACACAATAACAAAAACTTGTCAAACTTGTTTTACTGGTTTCTCATTTAATGTATTCGTCCATGAATCTGGACGGCGGCTACAATGAAACGATCATTCGTTTGCTCGCAGTAGTTTCTCCTAGCAGCTCAGCTAGAAACCACTGCTAGCTGGGTAAAATACGTCTATTTTGGTTTCAAATCTAATGAAATGGTGCATAGAATACACTGAACCTTGTTTAGTGATGATCAAATTTAAACAAAGATTCACAGTGTTTGCATGCAGAAAATATTTTTGTTGGCTTTGTGGTCCCAGAAAATAAAATATTTTATGCAGCCCTGGGCCTGGCACTTGGGTTAATGAGTACAAAACATTCAACAGCTTCACAACAATACATGGAAAAGTCTGCCCTAAACTGACCTTAGGTTGGTTTGTTTCTTCTTTATACTCCAGCCATGTGCTGCCGTCAACACTATAGTTGAATTGGTAAGACTCTAACCAGTTACCACCTTGGTATGATGACCCTTGCGTTGCAATGCCTGTTAACATAACAACCTCCTGAAAATCTATTTGTAGAAATGCGTCTTCAATACGATTCACCTGTGGAGTCCACCCAGGACCGTTATGATTCAAACGAGCATTTGAAAACGGATGGTAATTAGCTTCATTTGCAGAAGTAATTCCACCGTCAGGAATACGACCATTCTCCATTCCAAGGGGTGTCCCGCAGGTATAATTAACAATTTTAAATGAGGATGAATTCACCGTTAAGTCACCAATTTTGCCATCGGCAGCAGCTCTCGTTAAGGTGTCTAACGAGTTATTAAAAACTGTGCCAGCAACGTAATTAAATGTCAGATTACTGATCACACTTCCTCGAATGAATTTCTCCACTTTGACGGTACGGAATGTTGTGTCGTTTTTTAAATCACCTCGTACGGCATTCTCAATCCGATTCGCTAGTTCCATAAAGTCTCTGGTATCAGGGTTACTGAGGTTGTTATTCCACACTAAGTTGATGAATCTGACTGAAATTTCCATCCTGTCTGCATTATTGTAATCAAGGATAGCCTGGCACTGTTTTCCTCCGAGATGTTCCAGACAAGTACAGTTGAAATCATTGTCAAGGTTTGTACACTTGCCTCCATTAAGACAGGGCAATGACGCACAATAACCAACACATTCTTCTGCGGATTTTGCACCAGATCTAAGTGTCGTCAGGTTAGCACTTGCACACTTAATACACGACTCATTTCTATATTCTTGTTGGTCTTGGTAAAACCCTTTTGAACATTTTTCACAGCTTCGAAGGGTTTTATTCAGATAATAACCACGTCCACACTCAATGCATGCAGACATAACTGTTGCAGCTGTTACAATGGTTATCCCTTGTTCTGGACATGCTGTGCAAACATGGCTACCCAGTTTATCCGTGTAATAATCCAGTGGACAAGCCAAGCACATGGGCAATAGATAATTGGTCTCATTTTGGAAATATCCAACTGGACAATTCTCGCACGCCTCAGCAGACTTGTTGAGAAATTCCCCACGGTTGCAAGGGGCAATACATCCTTTTGAACCAGGTTTTAATGTAAACATTTTTCCAGTACAAGGCTTGCATGAACCTTGTCCAATGTTGTTTTGATAGGTATTGTTGGGACACATTTCACATGCTTCGCTTGTGAGGTTGAAAAATTCTCCTTCGTTACAAGGATAAATACATTGAGAAATTTTGGTCGAACCTTTGTTTTGTGTGATTTTATGTTGTGGACATTTTTTACACATAAAACTTGTTCGATGTTCATCTTCATAAGTGTTTACAGGACACAATTTACAACTTCGGGATGTAGCATTGAGATATTGGCCTGCTGAACAAGGACCAAGACATGCATCTACAGATATAGCTCCTGTCGATAACGTAACTCTGTTAGTCGGACACATTTTGCAACTTCGCATGTTACTAGGTGTAGTTTCATTTTGGTATGTGTTATTAGGACATAACACACACATACCTTGGGTAATATTGAAATATTCCCCTAGAATACACTGATCTACACAGCCAGTTCCATTTGCCGTTAACGTTGTATTCCCGGGTGGACACTTGTAGCATTTGGGAAATCGGTTTCCCTCGTAAGGCATGAAATACCCAATACCACAATCAAAACAAGAAGGAAACTTTGTGAACTGTCCTTTACGACATTGATGCATGCAATCATTTTCATTTCCTGCTCCGACGAAGGCTGTTGTGTTGCCGGCTGGACAGCGATGGCAAACTGGGTTGAAAGCAGTTGTCGAATTTTGGAAGTAACCGTAATCACACCAATCACAAATACCAGAGTCATTATTAAAGAATTTCCCAAGGGCACAGGAGTGTAGGCAGTTTACGTTTGAAGGTTTGGGATACACTTTTGTGCCGTTAACACACATGGACTCATTGGGTAGACGTCGTTTCTTCGAAGAGCACTGTTGACATTGAGACTGATAGAGGATTGCAAAAAAATGTTTATATGTGTGTAATGGACAAGAAATACAATTCTGTAGAAAATTGCCTGGATTGTTACCTTGTCCAGTAGTCGCATAATTAGCTGGACAGCTTGTATATGGTATTACTGGGTCAGATCCAAGAGGATTAAACTTAATTGCTGTGGCATTGTTAGCAAGTAAATCATTTGTGACATACCACTGAACTCTGTTCTTAAGATTAGCTGAAACATTCCCATATAGAGTGTCAAATAGTTTTCGTGTCATTGTCTCATTTTCAGCCATTTGGATATTGTCTTGTATTTGGATCTTAACAACATAGATATTTCGGTTACTTGGCATGTAACATGTTGAAAGAACTGGTCGGACTGTACAGTTACCCAATGTGTCTTTATAACACTCGCCAACATATGAGGTGCTCCTATTGCTCACAAGAAAATTATATACGCCATTTTCAATCACAGATATATTGAGTTTAGCACACGATATGTTAGCATATGTAAATGTATATACAGATACAACTCGAGTAACAGGTTTGACTTTAGTACATGAAATTAGATTGGGATAATTGAACAAACGAGCTGCCTTATCAGGTGGAAGTGTAACCCAAACCGAATTTGGCATGTCCAAATGTAAACTACAGGTTGAGGTTGTGTCAATCACTCCAATAGAAGATGTATATTTTTCGACAATTTCGTGTCCTGCGTCACAAGATGTTTTGCATGTTTTCTTTAACTCATCTTCATCTTGGTAGAACCTACCAGTGTCATCATACGGTGGGAATGAACACACAGTTCGAGCACTAACTGTAGGCAGGCAAGCACATTTATCCAAGGGGTGAGGCAACACTTCAAATGTAGCGTTAAACTTGTTGCCATTTGACGAAATTCTATCGGTATGCACCAGAAGTGCATTGCTTGAACTGTAAAACACGATGGGTTTACTTCCCGCGAGCAATACCCGGATACCTTGCTCATATTTTAGAGTACCAGTCACTGTCCCACCATCGTGTATGAAAGCAACCGCGTCGAACATATCTATTTCATGAAGTGTAAACTTTATTCGCCAACCGCGGGGGGCTAGAATAACCCTTGTGCAATCTCTGCCTTTGCTGACGACCAGAGAACCATTTCTAGCCGAGATCACATCGCCAACATCACATAATCCAAAGACTGTGTGATCAGCTGCTTGCCCATGTTGAAAGACACAACAAAAAAGCAAAATTGCAGCCTCGAATAATCGCATTTCAAACGCACCCATGGTGAAATAAGTCCACCAGGGATTAAACCAGACTATAAATACCTTCCCCAAATGATTCAGCAATAATTCGTTGTTGTTTTATGGATCAAATTCTCAAAGAACCCAACCCATTTATACTGCCGACTTCTCACCACTGCTTCTCACCCACGCGCTGTCATGCGCGCACTTCCGGTAAAGTAACAGCAGGGTAACAGAATGCAAAGTACTTCACTTCCGGCAAAAGAGCAAAAAATTTACAAAAAAAAAAACTCGTCAAATGTCAGCAAATTATCGGCCTTTTAGCTCGCTATTTTGTTCAGATAAGTAATAATGGATTAAAAAATACTCACTGAACAAAATATCGCATATATTGGGTATATTTACCTTGAATACTTGATTTTAATTATCAATCTTAACTCGCGAAAGAATATTTAAAAAATCTCTTTGTTCTCAATATTTTTTAATTAATTTTGCAATACGTAGAAATGGGATAATTTATGCTCTACAAATTGCGTAAAGTTGGTTATACATTTGGTATTTCGCAACGAAGAGGATATGTATATTATGCGTGTCTTTGCGGCATTAGCGTGTCTTTGCTGTAGACAAAGGCATTCGTTTATAGTGACTAGTGTACAATAAGATTCCCTGACCCTGGTTTGTGTCTGAACTTCCTCATAAAGTTATGTCATAAAACACACTTCAACATTTCAAAGAAACGCCCTTCAGCTTCGTCGGTAACTGTTAGAACCGAAACGGCTACTATAAACTTCCTCACAAATGACAAAGGGCAATTTCTTCGAAACGCCACCAATAGTACAACAACAGGTAGTTCAGACACAAAGGCAAGCACAGATGTTGTTGATCCCCACTTTGAAATATCGACATTGTACCGACAAAATTTGAATAAACTGGGCGTATTTAACTTGACTCTTGAGTAGGTTCTGTCAGTTTTTCATGGATATTGAACTCAATGTAAACTAAGACTAAGTATTTGTATTATCTAAGATTATTTAAAGTCATCGACATTGAAATTTATATTATGTTTGAGAAAAATGACCGTATAAAGGTCCAGACACACCGAACGGGATTCGACAACGCGACGCGATTTTTCGATTTTCACTGACCGATAACTTTGATCCTAGTTTAAATTTTCCAAATATTTAGAAGCGCTATAACATTTTGAGTTATTTGGTCTACATATCTTTCAAAATTTGCTCTCATTGGCTGTTTTATTAACTTTCAAAAACTAAAAAATCGCGTCGCGTTGTCGAATCGCGTCCGGTGTGTGTGGACCAGTGAACTCTAATAATAACTGGAAGGCTAACTCCTATGATGAAAGTCTATGATTCGTTGAAGCCGGCGCGCGGGAAAATCAGCTTTCAAAAGGACTAAGGAGAGTTTCGAGGAGTGAAAAAAATTCTGTCAAAAGTTTGTTTTCGAGCAAAAATTTGCAAGAAAAACACTTTTCCCATGGGAATACAACAATGACTTGCGATTTAAACCAAGTTTTCGATTAGTTCCGACTGTTTTACATCTCTCTGCAGCAAAAAGTAAGGAATTTTGCTTTTGTATTTTGAAAAAATGACGAAAGTTTGGATGTGCCGAAGGAAATCTCGCCGTTCAACTCAAAAATATATACTATTAAACATTTTGACAGTCCCAAAACTTATGTTGTACTAAACCCCAGGTATTGTTATTGATCCTGAGCTTTTAGTCCTTGTTTTAGTCGCTCTTAAACATAAATAAATTGGCGTTTTTCAAGTGATGTTATTTTCGTCATCGGCATCTTGTTGGCCACTATGAGCACTTTGAATATGGCAATATTTTTGTCCATTTTCAAATGCTTTTTTTCGACCTTAAAACGTTAAATCTTCTTGAAACTTCGCATACAGATGTATTTTGCATGGGTATAAAAAATTCCTGAGGTATGACGTCTTAGTTTTATCTTAAACTTCCAAAAACTCAGAAAAAGCAGCCTGAAACGCGCGGTTTTTCTGACCGTTCATGCTTATGGCCGTGTTTTTTCGTATTTTTTTGCTAATTCGTGATTTGTTTGCTTTGCGAATATTAAATTCATTTATAATACTACTGATATAAATTAAATTTGGTAGTATAACTAATATTTTGGGGCAAGATTTTTCTGATCGAAAAATGTGCATATTTTGAAAAAAAAATGTAAAAAGGACTGGGTCTACCTACAAAAAAAGCTTCAAGCACGGCTTCAACTTCCCCCCCTGACTTAGCCTTCCAGTTATTATTAGAGTTCACTGGTGTGGACCTTTACTGGGAACATAATATTGGCGTACCTCCGGTACGTAAGTACGCGAATGATCGCACCCTGTACATGCTGTGCCCTGTATGAGGGCAAGGCCTTTTGTTGCTAGCATCCAGTCACGTAAATCATAAAGATTAACAGGGGTTTCAGAATAAGCCGGCGGCCGGCGGAGTTCCGCCGGCTACTTGAACTTTTACCGCCGGCTACTTTTCGTCTGGTCACAGGAAAAAAATTATATACAAAGGTACAAGCGAACCAACACGATGTTTGTTATGTTCCAATTGGAATTCAAGCAAAACATCACTTATTTTGGAAGATCAATAAGATCAATAATATATAGTACCAAACATAGCTTGCTTTCTAAGTTGGTGTCGAAGTGAATCTTCCTGGAAGATAACTCTGATTGACTCTGACAGTGACTTAAGCATT